AAATTAAAGAAGCTTAATGTTAGCGGTGTACAAAGAAGCACATTTCTTTTTAAATAAGAATTAATATGAATCTTAAGATGTTTCAAAAGAAAGGATCATTAAATGATGAATAATTAACCGAAGTCACAATTTGTACTTTAGGGATCTGTCTAGAATTACACGGTTGTGGAAAAATCCTTTTCAGCGCTTTTGTAATTTGAAATTATAGGTCACACCACAATATCATTTTGTTTTCATTAATGTGTAATTGGTGTTTTTTAATTGAAATGCTAAAAACAAGATTTTAAAAGACATAGTTTTAAGCTTTAACAGCGAAAATTTGAAATTGGAAACTTGAAATCGTTCGCGGTCAACTGCTATAATTCTTGATTTGTTCAACAGATTGTTTAGCAGTATTGCCGAATAAATCAAGTAAATTTTGATTGATAATTGTGTTGTTTTGTTTAATATTTGTAATTAGAGATATTTTGTCATATATGTTGAAGATTTCCGTGAATTTTACTCACAAAATTTCTCGTCTATTAGAATTATTTCAAAATTCAATTCCATCTTTATATTTTTTAGAATAGGTGGCGTAACCACCTACATTTTGTACAAACAATATTTATTTAGTGTTCAATATTTTTTATCATTATATTTTTTCCATAATAGTAGTGTTCAACATTTCTCATATTTGTTTAGTTAGAGAGGCTCCGCTTGCAATTAAATGCCTGTTATGACATTAATCTTATGATACGTAATAGTAACCGAAGTCGTGCATTATACGTAGTTTCTTCAAAAAAATTACAATTATTTAATTAATTTTTTTCTTAATTTGCTTTTTAGTTCTAATTTTTTTAAAATTTATTCAAACCTACGTTCGAAAATTACATGCATAAATTTTTTATCAAAAAATATTGTAAGAATTTTTATAAGTCTGTTATACAGAAAGTTCACCAGACCACCAATTAAAATTAATAAGTTTGTAATAAATTTTTTCAATTTAGTTGGAAATTTTGTCTTAAAACTGAATTGGTTTAACGGCTTTTAAACCTTTGAATAACGTCGTCAAAATTGTGTTGGTTTGATATTTTATTTTTTTTTCTTGTTACGTTTTGAAGTTCTTTGTGATGGCAATAAAAATAAAAATTAACGTGTAGGCATCATCGATATTGAAGGTTTTCTTTTTTTATCGTATGCAACATTTTTTTTTATATTTATTCCACTTTTAAAATTTGTTACCATTGATGATTGTTAGTACTTACTTATATATCGGACGGGTTGTATTGGAATTGTTTAAATAATAAATTGAATTTATTGCAATTTTTAGTATTTTTTGTTTTTAATGATTGTGCTATGTATGTACGTATAAAAACAATATTCGTTTTCTATTTAAAGCGTAGGTTCTATATATGCAATTGACTCATTTGTGAATATAAATATGTGTATGTGTAACATATTATAATGTTGCCATATAATATACAATGCGTGTAGTAATAAAATTAGGGAAACTTTCAAAATTTATGTAAAAAGTATTAAATAGAAAATTAAGAAATGCTTATACAATGCTAACATATTTGGTTATTATTTAATATCATTATTAAATTAAATCCGTAGTTCGATTGTATCTTAAAATCTAAATGGTATAACCGGACATAAATATCTTATAAAATCCAACTTTCTATTTTTCAAAATTAAATCAAATATAATTGAATTGATTAAAAAATTAAATTTGTCAATAAGAATGCATGCAAGATTAAAAGAAATTAAAACTCTGAGCTAGAATGCATACAGAACAAAAAAAAATATAATATCCCAAGAATCAAAATTTTTTAATGTATTTTAAATGTCTTTTTATTTATTCCCCAATTGCTATATAATTATACATCAAATTGGCAACTATTTTTTTGACGACTCTAATCCTTTAACCCAAACATACGACGCCTGATGATTTGCCTTATATCTAATAACTGCAATTGTAGACTTTTGTATTGGTGTTGTCGTTGTTCTCAAGGTTTCTCCTCTCTCTTCTGGTTGATTTGTTAAATTTTCTGTGGGTTTTTCTATTATTCTTTCTGTAACATATTCAGTTTGCTTTTCCTCTTGAATTTCTATTGGTTTTGAAGTTGGTCTTAATGTTGGACTAAATGTTGGAATTTTTGTTGGCCTTATTGTTGTAGAAAATGTTGGAGTTATTGTTGTATTTGGTCTAATTTCAACTAGATTTTGATTTGGAAAACAATAAGACAAATCAGGTAATTGACCTCTATTGCATCCTCGAAACTCTTTATGTGTTACGAATTTTGAAGCACATTCCAAAGCAATTCCAAGATTTCCAGTTAAGAAATCTAAAAAGATGGTCACAATTTATGTGTAATTTTAAATTTAACAATAAAATTGTAGCTACCATAACAATTGGCTTTGCATATTCCACCTTTATACCCCTCTCTGCAGTAATGTTTGTTGTTGATCTATATATACAATATCATAAAAATAAAAAATTTTTGACTGTATAAAAATACTCAAACAGAACAAATAATTTTATAAATCTATTAAAAGTTTGTATTCTTTTTGTCATGTTAAGGTTACCTGAAAAATCCCGTAACTTTTAGAAAAATCTCTTTTCCTTCTTATAGTTTCTGTACTTCTCCCGCTTGCATGTTCTGCATAACATATCCCTAAAAGAATTTTAAAATTTAAAAAAATTGTTAAAATTAATTGAAAGAAAAAAAATTGATGCTTCTATATGATTCAAAATATTGTGTTTAGTGTCAAAGTAAACAGAATGCTACTTTTTTTTTAATCCACTAATTTAGGTAATAAGTGTGGATAGTTAAACTGTACATTAATACCGTATTACTGCATTTTGAAAGTCAAGGATGTTAAATTTGGTTTGAATCAGACAGCCAAAATAAGAACGTTTACTGCTGCTAACTTTTCTATAACATTCTTAAAATGTGAGTAAAAAGCTCGCCATTAGTATTGCAAACACGAACCAATTCATACAAGTAATTTGTGTCTATGATTAAATTTTTAAAATTTACGATAAATTGTTTAATCAATTAGTGATTCGTTTCTTAAAATTATTTCTTTTATTTCATTTAACGTGGTTCGTTTCATTTAACGTGGTTCTCCTTACTTTTTCCTTACCCAACAAAGTATAAAATAATTCATTCGTTGTCGATTTTCTTCTACAATCTCTCATTTATTTCACTTAATGTTGAAAATTTTTGAACCCAAAATATTAACGAAAATATCAAAGGAGATACCTATTATATGAAGCCCTTCAATTGAACTATAATTCTATATTTCAAAAAATATTTCTAAGTGTTTTACAATAGGAATAAGGTGAGAGTATGAAAATTTGTAAGAAATACGATCTATTTAACTTTTCTTTTAAATTTAATGAATTTTGAAATGATTTGATAAAAATTATATAAATAAAATGCTTACATTTCTTAAGCAGCAACGGATCCATCCGAAATTTCATTAGTTCATAAGCTAATTGACATCGTGTATATTGTATAGCATTACTTATTCCAATATATACAACAATAAATGCTGTAATCATAAAGAGCTTCATTTTAATTTCAATTTATTTAATGATATTTTTCTGCAATAAGAATTCAAAATATTTTATCAAGTCACAATTTATATATATACAATATATTATATATTTATTTATCTGTATAACAGAATTTGCTTACACTAAAAATCTTTTATTTCCGATGATTTTTCAAAACACTCATAATTAGAGAGTCAAAAAAATATAAAATTGCAAAACTTTTATAAATTTCAGTTTTTATATAAACATTTTCAGCATAAAAAAAAACAATTAGTGCCACATTATACGCCAATTTTACTTTTCTTTAAAAAAAATAGTAAAATTTATTACCCATACAGAATGCAATATTTGTAAAAATTTTCTACATGTTTTTAAGCATTAAATGTGTAGCGGAAATAATTTTAAGTTCCTGAGATGAAACCTAAAAGCACACAAAAAATTAATAGAAAAAACACTAAATGCAAAGTATATCATATGCAATTTATATTATAATCGGTCTATATCAGTTTTAAGCTAGCTCTAGTTAGAAATTGGAATAAAATTAATAAAAATAATTTTTTAGTAATTCGTAGAGGTGCTTTGCATAATGAATTTTAATAAAAACTTATTATTGTTCTACAAAGAAAATTCTTGAGCTCTACAAAGATTTTTCTTTGTTCTCTGATTTTTCTCAAATTTTCTTCTACAAAGAAAACAATAGTGTCAAAAATGAAAGTTCACCACAAATGAGTAGGATGGACTTTTGGACGGAGATATCTATAGTAGAATTAATTTTAAAAATATTATCATGGCTTCAAAAATTTGCATTATTTTGCTAACAAATTTTCATTTTCTCTAAGATTATTCTTTTTCCTAAATAAAAATTATTATATTTGCCCTAACACTATTTTTTCCATAGTTTTGTTGGGCATATATCCACATTAAATTGTCAGCTGCATAGAACATTATACAAATTTTTTGCTCACCTACACTATGAAAATTTTGCAAAACTCATAGATTGTTGTTTATATGTGTTGCAAAAAGAAGTTTCGAGATTTTTCTACTAGTGACACAACACAATTTGGAAATCCTCATTCAGCTTTTCCGTTTCTAAGGCTAATAGGTTATCGAACTAGATTAATATTAACCCATAATGCATTTTCATAATAAAATTCAAGTGACTTCTCTCTGTTTTTCGTTTGCAAACTTAGTAAACTTTGATAATTGACCTTAAAATACTCTTAATTGTTCTTACCATTGCAATTATATTATTAAATTAATTATGTATTTTAAATAATTATTATTTAATTAATTAAATATAATCTAATATTCGTATAATATAATGGAACACAATTCATACTATAAATATGAATTGAGTTCAATGAATGGGTTATCAATATTATGATTTAATTTAAGATTGCATAGCTAAACTATTACAACTTTAATGAGCTAAATGATCTCAAAATAAGATTAACAATTAAGAATTTTAAAAATACAATTTTATTAATAAAAATCAATAGGTATAACATATTTTATATATATATGTACATATAATTTTCTTATTACATAAATATCGAATATTTAATCTAAACATTATTCAAAATTAAATTCTAATAAATAAAAATTTTTTATATACTATAATATAATAAAAGTCCTTAAAGTCCTTAGTTCAGTTTTATTTTGTTCTTTTCTTTGTTCTTTCTTCTTTAATTTATTTAACATCTTGATACATCTGGTAAATTCCTCCCCCGACATTTATTAACCCAACCGGGCCAGTTTTGGAATCCTTTTTGATTGAAAATTAATTTGGCACACTTGGCATCATCTTGAATATCATCATTCAAAAAATCTATAAAATAATTTAAAAATAAAATCATATTTCGCAACTGCGATAAATCTTAATTAAAAAATTTATTACCTTCACATTTTGTATTACAGAGACCGCCTTTACGGCCCTTCCGGCACCAAGTTTTATTATTTATCTAAAAATATAGTAAATAATAAGTTCGTGACTTCTCAAAATAAAATTTAATTTTGAAACAAAAAGAGAAAAAGTGACAACAAAATAAAAATGAGAAGGTATGATTATCCCGCTTTAAGTATTTACAATTCTGCGTATTCTCGAAGTTCATAGTTAGAACAAATAAAAGATTCTATATCGATTAAGTGGGAAATTTAAAAATGAAATAAACAAGAAGTATAAGGCTATGGAAGCAAATTACGAAATATTTGCTCTTATGAACACTTGAATGGTTTACTTAGAAAGTGACCAAAGTCCATTTCAATTTTAAAAAATTAAATTTTGCACCGTTTGAGTTTAGGGTAACTTTCAAAATAGACCATTTGCTTTAAAGTTAAAGTTAATTTTGATTTATCTTTTTTATTTTAAATTTTACCTGGAAAAGACCATAACTGACACTTAAATTCGGTTGTTGCATTACTTTTGATGTACTCCTTCCGCTCTCATTTTCGACTAAGCATACCCCTGAAATTATGCAATTTAAAAATTTTACTCTTTTAATTTTACATAATTGAAACATTAAAAATGAATACAAAGTGGATAGTTTTTTGTTGTTGGGCAATGATTAATGAAAAAATTAATTAAATTATAAATTTATAGCAAAAATTGATATAGTCTAATATCGATATGAGTGTGAGTGGTCAACAGTTCAAAAGCCCTTTTATTTCATAAATTAAATGGTAATTTGACAATTACTCGCATAATCCCCAATTTATCGCCTCGTTAAAAGCATGAAGTTGGCGAAAACTTTATTAGCGATAGGGCTTTACGGCTCTAGTGTCTTAGCTTGAAGTTAAACTATGCCAATTTAGTGCTATGAATTGTCATAATATTTTTGAAATCTTTTGAAATTATTTATGAATATAGATTTTCTCAGATTTGTTTAATTGGTTTTAAGTGCTTGCCGTTGATTTTCATTTTAAATCTAAAAATGGAACTGAATAACTAAAAAAAAATCTGATACAAGCGAAAAGGTAAAAGTATTACGAACTTTTTATTCTTAAAATTACTACAATTTCTAAATTCTTATTCAACATTTAAATTAAATAATATTATTAATTTAAAACAATAAAATATAAAAATTTTTGTTTCTCTAATATCAATAACATTATCATTAACATTTCACCCTTTTAAGAATCACGAATTTCTATAAGATTAAATGCACACTTTTTCAATTTATTTTTTTAATATATAGAAAAATTTTATTCTAAATATTAAGTATATGGGTACTCAATATATTTTAATTTTAGAAATATAAAATGAATTCTTGGAAAAATTACGTTCAATTTTCGTTTTAATTTTTTATTGCATTATCTTTATTAATGTGCCAATGTACAGCCAGAGCTGATAAGAATTAAATTTTGTTTTGTAAAATGAAAAACTTTTTATTTTAAATTGATTGAAATTGAATTTTCTCATTAAAAAATTTTTAATATATAAAATTTTTAAAATAATTAATATAGTATTATTCTTCTAATTAAATACAGTAACAGTAACAGTAACAGTATATAGGAGCAATTTATACTTACAATTTGATAAGAAAGTTCGTGGAAAATCATGTTTAAGTAATTCTTTTGCTAATTGACATCTTGTAAATATTTTAGCTTCAGTTCCATAAAATCGCAAATCTAATATTATAAATGTTGTCAGAAATGCTGCAATTGTTGCCCCTCTCATATTTTATTCTTTTTTATTTATCTAAAAATTAAAAAAAATACGAGTAATAAACTTATTTTAATAGAATTTAATAAAATTATATTATAATAAGTAAAATTGAAAAATATAACAAAAAAATGAATAAATTCGTTATTATGGAATTTGCCGAAATTTTACTTTCAACGCTCAACAAAATTTTTTATTACAAATTATTTACAATACATGTGTTTAAAGTACAATAATTTACTACTAATACAATTAATTCAAAAAATGTAAATAATTTCGGGGAAACTCGGCAAAAAAAATTAAATAAAAATTAATTATCACGTTTTTATAAGAATGATGATTAAAAGACAATAAAAAAATAAAGTATATTCATATATAAATACAGGCATGCGAAACAGTTGAACGATAAGTACATCATTCGTAAGGCATTAATTAATTCGATAGTCTGGGAGATTAAAGAATATGTAAATGGTCAAGTGAAATAAATACGAAACATTTACAAAACTAAGAAAATATCGTTCACAAATTTTTTTTTTTTAATTAACTCATTTTGCTCCCAATATCTGCTTACATCAATATGTACGTATTTCAGTACCCCAATTTGAATTCTAAAACAATTAAAATCACCTAGCATATCATTTAAATCTTATATACATGAGCATAAATAACAAAATAAATTTGTATACAAGTAGGCATACATAATATATTTATTACATACAACTTAATTAAAAGTTATTTTAATTTATTAATTTTTTTTTATATAACTATTATTAAAACAAGTTAATTATTCATTGAGAACAAAATAAATGAATATTCACATGTATACATACATATAAAAGTATAATTAAAGATCAATTTAATAAATTGTATTGAGCTTTTTGATTTTCTCTTTTGTTTCCTATCAATTAATCAAAACTTGAACAATTCCTTATAAAATTGAAAGCCCCCGCATTGTTTAAAATTAAACTTTCAATAAATTGAAATTATAGCGAAATTTGAAATAAAAAAAAAATTATTAATATTGAGCTTACATATTTTAAAATATTATATAATAATAATTACTACATAAACATATACAGGGTGTTCCCAATAAGGTGACGAATAATTTCCGGGATGATTCTTTGACCAATTTCCAGCAAAAAATTTGGGGAATGGAGGGATATACTCGTTTCTAGTTATAGCCTATTGAGAAAAATGTACCAGAATTTTCCTGCAAATATAAATAAATGCTTATAACTTCGGAATCGTACAACAGAGAGTAACCATCGGGTAGACTGTAGTTCGAAAACGAGTATATCTGCACAGACCACCCCCCCCCCCCCCCCCCCCTTCTCAACCATACTTTTTTTTACTGGAAATTAATCAAAGAATCATTCCTGAAATTATTTGTCTCCTTATGTAAAACACTCTGTACATATTTTCATTCTACTCGCTGCCATTTATAATAATATGTAAAGGGAAAATATTTATATTGAATGTAATTAAAATTGACTTTCAATATTATTATGAATATTTATCGGCAGATGGTGATTTTGAATTTGTTTATATTATGCATATGTTTATGTATGGCAATTGTAATATGTATATTATGCATGTATGTCAATTTAAGTCAATTGTAATTTATCAATTTTGTAGAATATTAATTTTAATACATCCACAAATCGAATTGCAATTAAATTATGTAATTTAAAAATTGAAGTCAATATTTAGCCATAACAGTAAACAAACAATTTTTTATTAAATATTCTGTAAAATTTGAATTCAAGTTAAAAAATTATTTTTATTATATTATCAGTAAAATTTTACAATTTTAATTTTAAAACATATTTCCAATTAATAGATTACTTAATCTTATATTCCGTTTTATTCGGGAAACTTTGGAAATCAAACTCGAAACAATTTTAACTTATTACAAATCTTTATTTATTGAGAATTGTTTGCTTTGTTTTTCCAAAAAACAATCAAATGTTTTACATTTTTTTTATCAGAAACAATTTTTACCGAGCGCATCGCATACAGAGCTTAGGAGATGGCATTAAATTTCGGATGATGAGTTTTCGATAGGAACACACTTCTCCACACTAGGGAAGCATAAATGTCACGGATTTTGGGGCATGTCAGGAATGGAGAACTGAACTTTCTTACGGTCCTGATTTTATATTTTTGCAGATATAAAAAGAAATAATCAACCGATTTCCTTGAAATTATAATATTTAAATTCGGTATGTTAAAAGAAGGAATCCATAAATTTTTTGGAGAGATCAGGGCTCGGAAATCAAATTTTTTTTAATTAAAATTTATTTGCAATTTATATTTAAAAATTTTTCAATAAAATTTTGTTTTATATAATAATATTCACAGGGTTCTTATAATTCAATTGCATTGTGTAATTAGTAATTACCTTCACGTTTACTATTCGAAAACATTTAAAACCGTCCCTGTGCTAAATATTATGTCTTTAAAGTTTTAAACTAGTTTTCAATTTACTTGGACTTTTTCTTAATATTTTTGGTTAATCCTAAATAAATAATTATGTAATAATACCAAATAATTATTCAAAATAATTTTATAATACTATTCTATGTCTGACATACATACAAACATATCGCGAAATCTGTAAAATTTTAATCTTGTTACTTACGTTTATTTTTTTTCTTTTTTGTTTATATTCGCTGAAGCATTAATATTAAAAAAAAATTAACGACGTTATCACCTTATTTTTTATATATTATGATATTTTGCCTTTTTTTATTTAATTATATGCCTTCTCTTAACAATATATAATTTACATACATACGTGTATTTATAGAAAAAAAATGGGAATAATAATAAAGCGACAATTAAAAAAAAATATCAATTGTTTTTTTATAATATTATTATGTTTATTTTGTTATATTATTATTATTATTATTTTTTGTTTTTATTTTCTTTTTCTACTTTAAACTTCTCAGATAACAAATATAGATTATAACCGAGACTATAAAGAACAGAACAGATGAAAATTTATCAAACGACTAAACATTCGTTATAATTCTCAGATGCTTTTAAAGTCTTCCTTATAATATATATTATATATATATTTTAATATATTAACATTTATATATATAAGTATATAATATTAATACAATATATTTTTTAAAACTAAATACAAGTTGTCTGTATATAAATATTTGAATATAGAAATTTCTCGCTATATATTAAATATAACATTTATATTATTATTCATCCATTTCATATATATACGTATATATGTATATATATGTGTGTATGTAGATTATTTTAGTACTATAAGTATTATGTTAATTCGAAAACTGTATAAGTACGATGATGATACCTAAACTTTAAGCCTCAAAATTTTTTAATAATTGGAAAAAAAATAAAAATTCAATTGTAATAAAGCGAAAAGAAATAACTATCATTCACAAGTAAATTTTAACTTTATGTGGTTAGAAAAAACAATATCAAAACAAAACTTTGGGAAATTTATTGTGAGTCAAGCTAACTATAGGGATGATTATTCTTACTCTTGCATAATATTGTTATTATTATTATTTAATCTTGCTAACTCTGATAAAAACCACATTTATTTTGTAATCGAATTGAAAATGAATGCATTTTTCACATACATATGTACATAATTTTACTCGCAATTTAATTTAATTTTAAAAATAAAATCGAAATTAAATTTACATTCCTACATGTAAACATATGTACTTCTAATTAGAAATCACATTCAATCCGCATTAACACAAAAATAAAATATGTTTATATGATCTAGATGTTTATATGTATATTCTTTATTGACAGTTGACAATCTTAATATAATATTCACAATGACAATTAAATTTTGAGCTTTTTTTGTATTTATGACTTTTAATCAACATGTTAAAATTTTTATGAAGATGTTAGAGAACGAATTATTGTGAATGATGAAACACCACTTATCTCTTTGTAATTATATAACACATTATATGTATGTATATAGTTTTTCACGATTATTCGTGATATATTTTGAATTTCTTAAATGTTCAAGTATTGGAGATGGAAGAATTAATATCTTATACCTAGCAAAATTTTATGTTTATAGTATAGGTAAAGAGGATATAAGAATTAAACATTTTTAGGAATTGCTTTATTTTTATACAATTTGAGGCAAAAAAAAATTTCGAATCAAATTTAAGAAAATTTTATGATTCACCTACAATATTTATGTATGTACGTTTAGTAAAAGTAATTCTAAAGAAAAAAATATTGTACATATTATGTAGGTTATATTTTTGAGAAAATCAATAATTTTTTGATTCATTAGGGCTTCTTTTATTAATAAATTATTTGAACTATTCCAAGGTTTAAGATGTGGCATTTTTAAAATTAGGATTATGACATTTTTAAAGTTAAAATGATCGTGTTTTTTTTGTGTACATAGACTTATATGAAATAGAAAATAACAGTAACATAACGGTAATAACAGTAACGGTAACGGCATAAAATATAATTTAGCATTGCAGAGGCATAAATGTCATTAATAGCAGTTTCGTGTTCTGTAATAAGTGTTGCTCTACAATTACAATTAAGTTTTTTGATTCTGTAAAATCCGAACTTCGTGTCCGTGCGGAGAAATTATTTTGTTTCATTTAAAATATAAGAGAAATGATAGTAAAAAGAAAACTCTTTTTAAAAATTTTCCAAATAAAATTTTTGTTTACAAAAGTTTGTGATATTTATTTTCTGTTGCTATTGCTATTATCATTTATCTAACTCTTCAAATTTTTATGAAAACGAAGTTGGAAATTAGGAAGAAAATTTATTTTTTACTTTTAATCTTTGGTCTTTATCAAATTTCATCCTTTACTTATAATTTCTATAAGTTAAAGTTAATAAATCTTGCATGTGTATTTAATGATTTAATACTTTTTATTTGCATGAATGTGTATATCCCAATTTACTAATTTAAGTTGATAAACACCATACCTTTAAACAATGTCAAGATTAAAAAACACTATGTTGGAAAAGGTACAAGCACATTTTACGATAATATTCTAACTACTTATGGCATTTTAATTTGATTTAATATTAAATGTTATGAATTGTCTAGACGACCAAGAATTGCGTTGAAAGTGCCAAATTACTACATAATATCCAAATTAAACGGGCATCTTATGAAGCGGGACTTAATAAGCTTACTCTATTTAAATTCAACTTTTACTCTTTTTTCTTTATATTTTCTATAATTAATTTAAAAGAAGAGAGAATTCGGAATACTTTTCATGCGAAATGATAAAATCTACTTAAAATTTTTAAAATTCAAAATCAGGAAAAAAAAATATTTTTCATATTTTTCATTATTTTTGTATGAAATGCGGTTATTTAATTTTTTCAATCAATTGGAATTTTCAATTTCCTATCATTTAATTTGCAATTTCAAAAGACTAAGTCTTCTAAGACTAAGTCTACTTATAGAATACAATTTGTTAAATGAGTTCAAAATATTATTATGAAAAAGACATTTAAAGTGAACTTTCAACTGAACTCTTAATAGCGTTCAGAATTATCACTTTCTTTGTTATCAGTATAAGTTATGGTTTTTCCAGATTTACAATCTACTTATTAAGATTTTATCACTTTCACTCATTTTATAAATTTTATAACAAATACTAAAATTAATATTATGCCATAAAAAGTTAAAATATGAGTTTATTGAAGTTATGTACAAAGAAAAGGAAAAATTGTAGAGATATTTTAGCGTCTATAATCTTTTCAAACTGCGTTTTCGTCGTTATTTGTAGATTTTATTTAAATAAAAATTTTTTTTCATACAACATACTTAAAAATTGCATTATTAAAATCAAAACATTTGTAATTTATTGCATATTTATTGTTTTCTATGTATAAATAGTATGTAAATGTTAAGTTTATCAACAAAAGAAACCAGCTAAATTATATAATTAAATAATTTATAACATTTAACTAATTTAATTTTTTTTTTCTAAATGAATTCTTTGAAACTGCATTACAATCAAATAAATGAATTTAATAAGTATTCAGAGTTAGTTTTGCATTCAAATCTCAAATACGCATTTCTTTGAGAAAAAAAACATTGTTGTTTTTTTTCTTTATTAAATAAATTCATTCATCAATTTTAGAAATAAAATATAAAATATCTTTTATTACATTTATTATTCTTTTTATGCAACAAATACTCAACCTTTATTAGAAGCCCCTTTATGTACGCACCCTAACATGAATTTTGTTGATTCTAACATTGCAACTTGCATTTTTATTTTTTTGTTTTTCTTCTTTATAACTTGAAATGTAGGTTAAGTGGTTTGCTATTCTTCAATATAAGATTTGTTTCTTTTTTTTTATAAAATCTTAGATCAGACAAACAAATGAAGATCATGAAATGAAATTTAGTATTTTCCGTTCCGTTCAAGTTCAAATTTTTTAAATATATTTTTATTTATTTTTTTGTTTTTTTGTTTTTTTTTGAAAATTTTCCAAAGTAAATGTGAATTGCAACATATACAGAAATAAAATAATAAAAAATTATAAATCTTTTTATAAAATTTAAATAAAATTAATGTAATAAAAGAGCCATGTTAATAATACGAGTATAAGAGTTAACTATAAAATATTAAATATAAGCAATCCGTACTATATTAAGGTTATTTTTTTATTTGTTCCTTACATCCAAATGGAGGTATAAAGTTTTTATATACATTTGTGCAGTGTTAAACCCGTAACATAAGTTGTTTTTTTTATCCCTGCACCAAATGGTTTTAGTAAAACAATTTACTACATATATGTATATCAAAATTTCCTATATTATGGAAGTGGGAAATAAAACAGAAAAATATTTTACTGTGATTCTAAAATGTATTGGTTCAAAATTCTGATAAATATTGTAAGACGGAAACCATTACCATGTAAAATTGCCATTTTTTTTTATCATTTATTTTGTCAAAACTACAAGCGATTTTTTAAATTCTTCATATACGAAAAAAAACAATGACGACTTGCTTCTTCATTTACAAAATCGCATATATGTATAAAATTTTACAATTAAAAAATAACTGTTGAAATTTATCATAATCTTAAGCACGTTATAAATTTTTAATATCGTTTTTCTTTTGAACGATAAACTGACATTAGTATAAGACATTGCTATATAGGTAAATTAATTTGTTAGAAGAAAATCGTTTTCTTCACCAACTTCCCCCTCAAATTTATTATCTAAAAAAATGATAAAAATTTCAATTTTCATTAATTTGTTTTCTGAAGCCATGAGCTTTACTTAATTTTCATAAATTCAAGAACTAACGGTAAATGTATTACTATAACAAAGTAAAAATTTTCTTACCTAGCATTATCCGTTTGATCCAACTACTTTACGGGTGCTGCTCTTAACTTACTTACACATACGTTGTTGCGTCTATTCATATCTCGTTCCTATCCTAAAAATATGCAATAATTACAATAATTACAATTTTATTATGAAAATATTATAAAATAATGAAAGATTTTTATAAATGAAAGAGAAGGTGAGAAAAATTTCCAGATCAATGGTTTGACCGGAATTTATAAATCAAATAGATGTCGTACATTGATCTAGAAATTTGAGTAAACTTTTCTACATAATTCAGATATTCAGCATGATACGTATTCGACATGAAAATTCAATCAAATAATAAGTCTTTAAATTATTACAAATTAAATTTAGTAAGTAATAAAAAAAAGTCAAGAAGAAAAGGAAACAAATCACAAATACACAAATTCTAATAAAATTTAAAATTGTACTAGATTTATTTTTTTAATATTTTGTTTGGACAATATACAATATATTTACAATAAATATATAAATTTATCTTTTTAAATTAAATACAAACTACTTTGAGGTTGGTCACTTTTACTTTATCAACAAATTTGATTCTATTTTTCCCCTAACAAATTAGGGTCAAGATATTTACGAGAATGAAATGTGCGAATGGTACTTTTTTATTTCGTAACTTAAATTTGTAATTTCATTATTATACTAATAGTATAAGTATATTATAAAAAATAATATATTATACTGAATATGTATTTCGAAAGAAATAAAATTCTATTATATTTATATAATCTTTATATAAGTAGGAATTTTAGAACACTCAAATTTTTTACATTAATACTCGTAACAAGGTATGAAAATTGAGAAATATTTAAGAAAATATAATTATTTTTTGGTCAATTATTAAATTATATTTTGTTCTAGAATACCCCGTGTGGCATATCCGGTGATATTTATAGTGAAATGACCTTAAGTAATATTTTAATTTTTTTTAATATAATAGCAAGAGAAGAGAAATAAGTTTTTGTCAAAACTACTCATACTTACATTTAAATATATTTATGTGTATATTCGTAGTCTTACATTGACTGTATGTTTTGAAAATTATAAAAAAATCACGTAGCTTTTGAATTTCTATGTTTGTATTTAGTAAATAATCGGGTTTTTTTGTGAAAAAAATTTATAGAAAAAGCAAATTAGAGGATATTTATAAAGGAATAAGGAGGATAAGTATTAATAGTATGTGAAGTACTAAAATGCAATTTTTGATTATAATTTGCGAATTTTATCAGGCACTATGAGAGCAGCACATTTATGATGAGTTCAATGAAAGATATTACAAATTTCTTTTGGCCAAAATAAAATAAGAATTACCATATCCTAACTAATGTACATATTATGTATAGTTAATAAGAAAATAAGTAGAATTATTATATGTATGTATATTTTGCCTGATATAACACTTTTTTTTTTTAATAGTTTCCACATTGAATTTTAGAAATTTTCTCAAGTGCCAAGATAATTAATGACAGTATCACAAATGCAGTACTGCAAAACAATAACCGCAAAACATAACGTAATGAATAGCGGAATTGAAAAATTTGTTACCTCACACATTTTATATGCGAAGCGTCTAGTACAACAAGGCTGTTATATCGCCATATACTGCATTTATGAAAAGGCGTTTAATGTCAAAAATTGTAAATAATTATATTTTTGTAATGTTCTATGTAAATATTATTTCTTATAGATTATTTTATAATATTTTTAGGAATTGATTTGCTTTGTTTGTTGGATTCAACACAAAACACGAAAAGTCGATTATATGTTCCAAACTCTTATGTTCAAACTAAAATATTGAACCATATTAAGATATAAAAACATTTAAATATAATATACATACATATACATCGGTGTAAAGAGGGATTTAGTAAGTTTTAAAAGCATCTTGGCTCTTACTGCATTCATACAACAAAGTAGTGAAAATAGATGTATTAAAATGTAATCAATAGCAAAAAAATTACTAAAGGAACAATATTATTTGCCAAACACAATTAAAATGAAGTAGAGAAATTTAAATTTCTGTGTGGACATGAAAAAATCTCATAAACTGTACATACATACATATTTATTTGAACAAATTATAATTATTATTTAATTAATAAAAATTTTCTTGCTAAATTATTTATTTTAATATTTAAAATGTTAAACATTAAAAATTTTTATTTTGTAATATCAAAGATTTTATTCTATAACTATGTATGAATACAATTTTTATTTCTATTCCGTGGTCACTCTATGTGTGAACACACTATTAAAGCATATAATATGATATTCAATTTCAAATGTCATGTATTCTACTACATACTTTAACATTTTTTTGTGAATGATACTTAGAAATTGCATTAAATGTCAAAGACTTAAGTAACTTGAGTTTTGCAAAAGCTTCTAATAAATAAATTAAAATTTATATGCACTTGTCTTTAAAAATATTAGAAACGGTCTGAAAATTCCTTTTAAATATGTACAACAAAGAAAAAAACTAAAGATGAAACAAGGTGGAAAATGTATGCAGTTAACGTTGATATTAAATAGTACAATTTGTTTTTGATACGTTTACCTACATTGTACTCAAAAATTGTATTAAGTTGCAATTTTTAATTCAAACTTTTAGAAATTGAAAAGTTAACTTTTTGATCTAACAGGATGCAGGTTGCAAAATGCTGCAGTGTAACTTAAATCAACTCAAAAAATAACACAAGACGAATTAAAGAAGATTAAAATTAATAACGAGACTTTTTCCAAAATAAACTTTTCCGGTAACAGTGATTTTTGGATCTTTGTTTATTCGAAATACATACTAAGCTTATATTTAAACAATTTTAACTTTTAACATTCAATTATAATTCAAAATATTAAATTACAAAATTATCCTATTTTATTTTATTTCAGAAAAACATGTATTACTATTCTTTTACTATTGAAATTATTTGTGGCAGCTGATGATGATGATGATATTTCAAATACTAATTATCAAAATATTCTAATGAAAAATAATTCAGAAATTTTAATAAAATCATCAACACCAAGTGATACAAATAAATTAAAAAATACAAAGTCAACATATTATACAAAACATATTAATAAAATATCAACAAATAAAAAGAAAAATCCTATCGAAAATAAACCAATTCTTTTAAATCCCGATGATGATTCAATTGAATGGAAATGTCCTAATATAACTGTAACAAAAAATTTAGAATGTGGCTGTGATTTACCACATACATTACGATGTAGTGGTGATATTCATGGATTATCAGTAAGTTGAACTCATATAAGAATTATTTCCAATAATTCTCTTTTAAATTTCATTGTAAAATCAAAATTATTTTTATTTTAAATAATTAAAATTAAATTATTAAATATTTATGAACTGAAATAAAACAAAAATATTTTTAATTTAATAGGTCTTAGCTTCAGATCTTCGAATATCACCATATAAAGTTTCACTATTAGATTGTTCATTAAAAAATGTCTCAATATTAAATGATGCAAAAATATTTGAAGATGTACCACTCGATGGCCTAGTTATATCTGGTGAAATAAAGAGAATACATAAATCAGCATTTTTAGGATTAAGAAAACCTCTTCAAGCTCTAGGTACCTACATATTTAAAATTTCAATAATTCTTATAAAATTTAAAAATTATTTAATTTGAATAAAATTATTTTATTTTAAAGGTTTGCCAGGGAATTCTTTGACCTCAGTTCCATGGAATTCAATTTCACCTCTATATTCACTAGAAAGAGTTGATTTATCAAATAATAAAATTAAAAGTTTAAATCCAATGGATTTTTTTAATTTAACAAATTTAATATTTTTGGATATAAGTAATAATCAAATAACTAGTATTTCTCCAAGGACCTTTGTTAATTTAAGACATTTAGAAACGTTAAAGTTGGGTGGAAATCGACTTGGTGATTTTCCATCAAGTTTAAAAGGAATCGAAATGTGTTTGAACTTAAGGTAAAATAAAAAGAAATTTTCAATACCTTATATTTCTAATAACTTTTTAATTTAAAATTTTTATATAATCTAGAAATCTTGATTTAAAATCGAATAATTTGAATGGACGATTGAAAGATGATTTTTTACCAAAATTAAATAATTTGGAAACATTAAATTTAAACAGAAATTTATTAAAAAGCATTGAAAACCGAGCACTTCATAATTATCCAAAATTAACAGTTTTATCTGTAGCACACAATCAAATCGATGTTCTTCAAGATCATGCCTTTTATGGTAAGTTGGATGGCAATATTATATTTGTATAAAATACCTTCAATGTTAATTTATTTTTCTTTTTACCATCTTACCATCTACTTTCAGGATTATCATTGTTGGAGACCTTAGATTTGAGTTATAATGGAATTGTAGCTGTATCGAGTGCATCACTTCAACATTTGTCTAGACTAAAGAATTTAGATTTAACACATAATTTTTTAAGGTACAGCATTAAAATTTTCTTGCGATTTATTTGTTCTTTTTTAACTAATTCGATTTAATTTATTTTTGATTTCATACAGAGCTCTTACATCAGATTTAATAGCACCACTTCCATCTCTAAAAACTCTTCAATTATCTGGAAATGAAATATCTATTGTTTCAAAAACTGCTTTTGTCAATATAACCGAATTGACAAGTTTGTCACTACAGGAGAATCCACTTTCATGTGATTGTTTGATTCGACCGTTCGCTGAATGGTTGAAATTGTCGTCAATGACTCAACAAGACCTAGAAAGTGCTACTTGTATGACTCCTCCAAGATTGGAAGGTGCACCTTTAATACAAATTTCATTAGATACATTAAACTGTGATACTGACAGTAATATAATGGATGATGATACAACAACTGATTATCCTAATGTTTTTGATAGAATGAAAGAATTTGCTAATGTTGGTTTATCAGTTCAAGATTTAAATGAAAAGGTATAAAAATTTTTACTTGTTGTTCAAAGAATATTTAATGACAAAAATTTATATATTTTTAATTAGATATATCTAAAGGATCTTCATTTTTCGGCCGATTACGGTTTGATTCTTACTTGGGCATTAGATATGAGTGAAGATGAATATACATGCGATACAATTTTCATTTATAAACAGGATCAAAATCATGAAATTCTGGTTGAGAAATCCCCGGTACTTGTGATTATTTGAATATTTTTCTATTTAATAATAAATTTAAATTCTATTTTAATTTAATAGATTCATTGTGAAAGTAAAATAATAAATAATCTCAATTTCGTAAGCGTTCTTGTGCCAGACAGCTCAAATTTAAATATTGGAGAAAGGTAAATTTTTTATAATTAAAATTTTTAAATTATTTAAAAATTAATTTAATATATTTAAAAATAATAATTTAAAAAACTATTAATGAATTATTTGAAAAACTATTTTATATTTTTAGTTATCGATTCTGTCTTGTCTTAGCCCACGAACTAAATTCTGACTTATATGTTGGATGTTCAAATATGACTCAACTTCGTAATAAAATTAAAGATAATAAATTTTCTATAATACCAAATAAATTACCATTACCATCAGATATAGATGATTTTAGTTCACAAACAAATATACCAGCTAGTCGTACATCAACTGTTTTAACAAAAACTGTTTATCGGAATACAAATGATCAAAATCGAGCAGTATTTGATAATTTTAATAAAAGTTTTTATCCAAGTCTTGTACTTACAATCTTAGTTATCAGTATGTTAGTATTAGTATGGGGTGTAACAAAAATTCGAAATGCAGCAAGAATGTTTCAATCACCAGCTACTATATGTTATTCAGCTACATCAGATCGATCAATGTTAAATGATCAACAGCAAACAGAAAATCGTTACTTAAAATTACAAGCCACAACTAGTCTTTAGATTTGATGTTTTCATTAAAATATCGCAAAGTATAAAAGAAATACATCCTTTTTATTAATTTAAGAAATTGTAAAAAAAAATAAAATTAGAACCTTTTTAATAAGGAATTTTAATATAAATCTGAAGAAAGCTGTAAATAGACTTAACCAAAAATTAAATACCTTTTTCTCGAGAAAAAGGTGTAGAAAAATTATTTAATACAATATTAGATGCTTCTAATATTTTTTTATTCAACTTGTTAAATAAATTCTTGAATCATGTAGTATAACATTAGTTCTATTTAAATAATTTCTAATTTGAAATATATTTCCATAATTTTCATCAGATAAAATATAATTTATTGAACAAATCAATATTTATTAAATTAAGAATAATTTATTCACTCCAATTTATTTCAACTATAATTTTTCTCAATTTTATATAAACTGCAATAAAAATTGCAGAATTATTTATTGAATTGTGATATGTAAATCTTAGGATAATCTAAAATAGGAAAAAAAAAATTATTTTTAATATTACTAAAATTAAAAATATAGCTATGTAAACTTTCAGTTTAGTAAAAAAATTTTTCTTACATTAAACAAATTATTTATTGTACTTCTTTTTTAAATCTGGCATAATTATTTAATTTATAAATTAAGTATAAAATTTTAATGATTTAGCTTGAATGCTCGATAAATTAATTATGTTACTGCGGTACGATCCAAATACTAAATAATTTTAATATTAATAGTTCTTGAGATAAAGAAATTTGTAATATTTTTTTAGAGTTTTAAATTTATATTAGAAAATTTTTATTCGAAACAACTTACCATTTTTAGACAAATTTATTATGAATTTTTGAAATTCAATTAGTTATTAAATATTTTTGTAGGATGATATAGTAATCAGTGCCTTAGCATATACTATCGTTAAGGGCATCAAAAAAAAAGAGTGAGATTTTTGTTCAGAACTAAGTATCAAATCTCAAAACTTTGTGACACACAGAAATTCTTACGAACATTCATCAACATTACTTGATTTTTTATTTTATTTACTTTCGAAATACTAAGCATTCTAATTTTGAAAAAAATCAAATTTTCCCAATTTTTTAATTTTTCGCTTAACTGATTATTTCGTGCGAAATTTTTTGAAACTTTACTTTTGTTTTTAACCTTTAAAATTTGATACCTTGTTCTGAATAGTTCCTGGATGGTATATGGATAGCTACTGAATCTCCCTGTATATTGAGTTCTTAACTTTTTTGACAATTAAAATTGTACTATTCATCCACTAAAATATTTTATAATTCATTTTCTTATATTCAACTTGTTTTATATTATTGAAATATTTTATAAAAACTATTTGTAATGTTAGATAATGGATTCAAAGACCATCTCTAATTGTAATGGACGTACTCATTTAAATAAAAATGGCCACAAAATATGTACATACGAATACCCGCATTTTATATTAAAAATATAATTAACAAAAACTAATTTTTTTAATTTAAAGTTTATTTTAATGTATTTTTCAATATATAATTATATATACAATATATTTGTAAATGATAATATATATAATAATTTTAAGGTAGCAGATTATTATAAGAAAGCTTTATCAAAATATCTTTTGAAGAGTTAGAAAATTTCACTTATACAACACTTAAGAAAAAGGCTTAAAATTGAACTTATGAGAAAAATCTCAGAAAAATCTACTTAAATGAAAAATGATAGCAACAATGAAAACTAGAAAATTTAAGTAAACAAATATAATAATTTAAAAATATTTTTTCCTTTATATAAAAATTTCAATTGTTTTAATTAATTTCTAACTTTATATACTAAAATAAAATTTATTAAAATAATTTAAATTATAAATGCATAATAACTGTAACAAAAGAACTCATATTAACTTATAAAATTATTAAATATCCTTAAAGAAAAACATTTATTTTTATTATATTTGATTGTATTAATAACAAATTTGCATAAAATCATAAAATATTAATGAAAAATTAATGAGATTTATATATTTTACTATTTATATATAAATTTGATAAATAAAAGATAGTAGTGCCATAATTTTTCAAACTTGAACCTACTAAAAAATTCAGTGCATTAAGAATAAGTAATTAAATTTTAGAGGAACGTTCATAATATATGCATATTTATATTCAAAATATTCAAAAAATGAAATTAATATTGGAACATTTTCTATTTTTATTTCAATTTTTTTCCAATAAATTAATAATTTATCAAATTTAATTTTATTTTTTATTTATTTTCATTTCTGTAAATTAAAATTCTTAACAAATCATAAATATTGTATAGCACTGAATATAATAAAAAAAAAATAATAAATTTAAAAATTTTGAAAAACAAAAAAAAATCATACAAATCCAAAGTTTATATAAGTCCATTGTTTTGTTTTATTTGTAATAAATGTTTAAAAATATATTTAAATATATAAAAAATTATTTAAATTATAATATTAATTATAATGTGTTTTATTTTATTGTAATTTATTATTTATCACTCCTAGGAGGAGCATGGGACTAGTGCATGACATCATAAATAGTCATGCCCCAGTTTCATTGCGTCATAGAGTTTTAACTAGGTAGGTGACTAGCCTGCCGTAGAAATTATTTATATAAAGCCAAATAAAAATAGAGTATCGAAGATAAATAAGGGGCAGTTTTTCAAGATTCGAACGAATACTTTAAATTCTTACATTTTCTAAGAATCTGATGATAGTCTTAAGTATATAAGACTTTCAAATTTAATTAATATTAGTCCTATTTATTATTGTCAACTGATTTGATAAACGAAAATTAATAATTAAATATATTATATAGGATGTTTAATATTCAGCATATAGGATCTTATCCGTATAAATATAGGGGACCTTCGATAATTCATATGTGCGCTTAAAATTCTAACTTAAATCTTAAAAATCTTTTTTTTTTGCATTATTAAAGTTCTGTAGGAACCAATCAGTTTAATTTTTCTCAGATTTTTAATATGCAACGTTTTTCTATGTGATTTTTTTTAAACCTAAAATATTTTAATACTACGATTTTCGATTGTGCTTCTTTTGTAAAGGTTTAAAATTCTACATTTGAATACTTTTGATAAGTTTTGATTTATCGAACACATTTACATTAAAATCTAAATTAGAACTGAATTTCCGAAATTCCCCATAGTCATATCATCTATTACATATAGAATATCAGTAGATTTTTAATGTTAACACTTTCATAAAATCGCTTTTTATGATTATCTTACCAATAGTTTTCATAATTTAATTTATAAATAGATTTGTCTCCATTTTATCGAACAAGAACTTTTGGTTTTAGTTATTTTACATATTAAGGATGTAGTTTTTTTTTCTGTACTTTAAATTTCGATGATTCAAATTTGCATTGATGATTCAAAGTTATAGCAAGGCTCATTACATACTTAATATTTATGGTTTGGTTTGCAGTCTCAACTTATGAATATGTAGTGTATTTTTGATGTTTTTTGGAAATAGAGTGGGGTTCAAAAAGGAAAAATTTATATATAAAAAAAATTTAGTTTTTAATACTTCTTTATTTTCTTTACTTATATTTTAACATATATAAAAAAGCGATTTGAACTTAAATTTAATAGTAATGCCTAAAGATTAAAATATAATATAATTATATATATATATATATATATATATATATATATATATGTATATGTGCACACATATGTATATATATTTATATATATATGGGAAATATTTTAGAACAAATATTAAGCTTTTCCATATTATTTTTTTTTGTTTTTTTTTTTTTTAATATTTAGTGCCAAAATATTTTTTTTTTTTATGTTTTTAAAAAGGAAAAATTTGATTTTTTTTTTATTTTTCTCTTATTTTCTTATTTTTTTCTTTCAATAAAATTAAATTTGCATTTATCCATCTTATGATCTAAAAAAAAATGTTTTTTATTTTTTTTTTAATTTTCTTTTAAATATATATTTTAATATTTTTTTTTTCGTATTTTTAATTTTTTTTTTTCTCCATTTAATTTTAGTAATCATTTCATTTTTTTTTTTTTACATTTACAAGTATTTAATTACTATTATTATTATTTTTTTTTCTTTTTATGTTTTTGAATTTCTATCACACTTTTCATTAATTTTGGTCTCACCGTTCTCATATTACAGATTTATACATATATATACACACATATATTTTTTTTTTAAATTTTAAGAATTTTTTTCTAAGTTTTTCTTATATCACAATTGCACAATTTTACCTACTAAAGCACACACCCAAAACCCAACCGAATTCAACTGACATACTCGACAGGTTTTCGGAGAAGTTTTTCTATTTTATATAAAATTGAAATGGAAGAATTTACAATATGTGGCTAAGAAATTGATAAAAGTTTTTTAAAATAAAATTTTCTAAGCTCTAACAGAATTAAGAAAAAAAAAACTAGGGGATGTAAATGTCAAAAGAGTGCCAAAAAAAAATTTGGCTTGAGCAAAAGTATTTTTTTGTTTTATGTACAATTTTATAAAAAAAAAAAAATAATTAAAAAAAAAATATTTATTATTTTTATCAGTACGTAATAATTTTATGCACCATCTATATAATACTCAGTAGTTTTACTATCTTGAATACTTTTAATAATATCAATTATTATTTTTAAGTCAATAACCCATAAACATTTCTGTTTAATTTGCTATAATTAAAAAATATATTATACATACTTATATATCAGTCTAAACGCAGTCTAAAATTGTTCCAGATCAAAGTGAAAATCATTTTTTTTCATAATTCAATAAAATATTATTTTCATATATGTATATAAGGGTCCAATAGTTAACAACAAATATACAAGGACCTTTAATAAAACTATAATAAAGGATCCTATCTTTTATTGCGTAAATAAAGGATAGAATCAATAATCACCAGCTGAACTGGTGATTGTTCTAACTGGTTCTTGTTCTAATATTCTCAATGTTAAATGGATATTATTGGAGGTAATCTCCTCTATTAATGAAAATTTTAATAAATTATAAAAAAAAAAAATAAACTAATCTTCATCTATACATCTCGTTTAATTGGTTATTTGTAAATTATTTTGACTGATTATTTATCAGGGTTTTCATAATTTAAAATCGATAATTTTATTATATTTTATTAGGTTCGATCTTTTTAATTCTGTTAAATTCATTGTTTGATAACGCACTGATTTATGTTTGATATAAAATTAATTTTGACATTTACTAACTATTTAAAATAACTTTATGTTATTTTTAAATTTTAATTCTCCTTTTTAATGACTATTAATTTAATTAATTAAGGTAATTTTGGAGCGATTAAATAAAAAAAAAATATTTGAGCAATTCCGACTTTAATTTAATAAAATTTTTTCCAAAAATATTTTCTCAAAAAATATAAAATATAAAAAAAAATAAAATTTTTTGTTTTTCAGTTTAAATTTTTTGACTAATTGAAATTAAGTGATTGCAAGAAGATAGAAATTAATTCTAAAATATAAAATAATTATATTTATTTACTATTGTTTTGAGTATATTTGAGAAATTACTAAAATAGTGATTTTTTTCTCTATTAATACTGCTTGTTTATTCAACCATATATAAAGAAAATCTTTTAGTGAACGTACATGAAATAATAAAATATTTTAGGGTTGCAAGGAAAAGTTTTGTTTTTCTCACAAAAAGAATTTGGTAATTTAGAAATACAAAATAAATTTTAATTAGAGACAATCCAGAAAGCCCGTTGAGTATGTGTAATTCCAACAAAATCAATTTTTTTAACTCTCGATTCACATTCTTGAATATTTTTTTTTTTTTTCATAACGACTGAGAACAGTAAAGTTTTATAATAACAGCAACTTTTACAATTTAATTTTCAATAATGTTTTTTTTTTCGATTTTGATTTTAAAATTGCATGTTATTTCAATTCTTTTTTTTTTTTCTTAAAACATTTACGAAATTAGTTTTCCACTTTAGTTATTACATTTACTTTTTTTTTAATATTAATTTGATCTACAATACAATTTTTTTTGTTTTGTTTTTTTCTAAATAAATAAAGAAGAAAACATGTTAGTTGCTTTTGGCAGTATTTTTCATTTAAGTTTTGTTTTTCTAGCTTTAATTATATTTAATAATTTATTTATTTATTTTTTTCATATCGAAATAAAATTGGTAATTATTTTTTTACCAAGTCTTCGAAAATTAAGCCACTTTTTGGATTTTTTCATTTTATTTTTTATTTAGATTTAATTAATATTTAAAAACAGTTTTTTTTTTTTTTGTATTTTTATTCAGTTTTTCTCAAGAAATAATTTAGCTAGGTTTTTAATTCTACTTTATTTCGGTTATTAAAATTAAAACTGAACAAACATAATTTATTTGCAAGTCTTGTTGACTTCTAAAATGTTGAAAATATGCTAGTTTTGAGTGTAATCTTAATATTGTAATGGCAAAAGCACTTAACTAGCTTATATTTCTAAATTATCGTAAATTTTATCGTATTTTATTGTATTTAATCAATATTTCAGAAGTCAACTTTTAATAATATGCAATATTAACATATTATTTATTTAATTATAATATTTAATATGCACATTTCATAAAATTCATATAAGAATTATATGAAATAAGTGAATGAGCATAAATATTTGTTATTTTTTTTTTTTTTGGTTTTCATTAAATATTTTTAATTTTTTTGCATTTAAATCATGTAAATTTTTATTGTTTTTAAAATACACACACATTTTAATATCATGATCAATATTGATTTGGTTAAGATGTTAAAGCCTATCAATTTCTGATCATTCAAATTATAAGAGCTCAATAAAATTTGCATTTAAATCCTAGGGCAAATTCATTTTTTTGTATTTTCAACATTATTTTATTGGGCTCTTTTATTTTCTTTTTTCATGTGAACTTTATTTTACTATGTCCCTTATTTAGCTTGAAGCTGATATCATTTTCGTTTCTTTATAATTTATTGTTAACATAATAATTATATTTAATTTTTAATCGTTCACATCAAGTCTTACAATGATGATAAATCTATAAAGTAGTTCTTTTACATCCATACAACTAATTTCAATTTATTAAAGAATTGTTTAATTGTTAGAGAAATTAAATTTTAAATAAAATAAAATAAAAGCAAAAATTATTATTACTTATATTGCCATATTAACCGTTATAAGAATGGATGTTTTTCTAAAGTGATGTTTGGCTCTTGGTTTAAGATTCATTAGGATTAGAAAAAAATCATATAATACAATTTTTGTTTTCTATATGTGTGAAAATTAAATATCATATCTTGACACAAGTAAGTGTTAAGTTGAATAAAATTTGAGCTGTTTTGATTATATAATATTTAATCTTTTCACTTGTTAAATAATTTCTAAATTATATCAATAAAAAAAATTTTAGTGATATGTATAAGGTTAAGGGAAACTTTTATGAAAATGTCTGTTAAACTTCTGTTAAAAAATAATAATACAATAGAATAAACCAAATATTTTGTTGTTTTCTATTTAAAAGTGCTATTACTGCTCAAAGTTGTTTCTGCAATCGTTCTAAACTTTTAGTCTAGATATGATAATATTTTAATAGTTATTATTTATATACAAAACAAAAAAGTTTGTATAACAGTTATTGTATTGATTTGATGACTGCAAAACAATATTATTTCAAATAGATTTTATTGTTTTTGATTAACTGTAATATTATTCTAAATTACAGTTATCATACTAACATTAATTAATTGTTAGTGAAAATTTCGTTGAAATATTATTTTGTGATTTTTGAGTTAAGAGTGTTTTTTTTTTCATTTAATTTTACTTTTGTTTTTCATATATTCGCAAGAAAATTTCTTTGATAAAAAGAATTTAAAATTAAGTTCTATCATAAAAATTGTGATTTCTTCTTTCATTAATCAATAGTAAAATATTGTACATACACATATCTAACACAGTTTTGAAAAATTTTAATTCATTATTATTACTTACATTCATTAAATATTATATTTTTATTAAAATGTATAGCATAATAATTGTATTACATTATAATTTTTATAATTATTATTGTTATTTTTTACTCAATTTATTGTAGTATATTTAAATACTGTTTTTTTTTTTAATTATATATTGATTAATTTAAATAGAATAATTATTATAGTACGCGTTATATTTAAAAATCATGCTAATATTGGTAAATATTTTAATTATATGTATTCACATTTTTTTCACATTAAGTTTGAAAAAAATTATTATTTATACTGAAAAAACTAATAAAAAAAAAATAATTATAAAAAACAAAAGGTTAAAAATGAATATCACAGATTAAAATATTATTGTTAGTTTTCCATTTCATTTCTTTGTTTTGATTTTGATTTTTATTATATGTTGGCAAAATAAAAAAAAAAAATACCCAAATTTAGAAATTTTTAAATCAATAAAGTGTTTCGGATTTATAGTATAAAAGTATAATGATGCCATCATATAACAGGATCTAAAATAATTTTTTCCAGCTCTTGATTTTATATAATATGTATATAAAAACGTATAATATAATTATATTTTATTTTTTGTTTTCAATTTGAAGTAGGTACATATTTCATGACGATAAAATATATATTTTATTATTATTTTTATTATTTATTTAATAGAAAATTTTGGTTTGATTAAAGTTAATTGAACTTTTTATACAGCTTATTTATAGAGAAAGTGAACATTGCTTAAAATAGTAATAGAAAAAATAAATCCATTTTTTAAATTCAGTTTTATTTTTTTTAACACTGAAAATATTAGCATGACTAGTTTAAAAAATTTCACCAAAAATTATTTTTTTTTTTTATGTTTTTTTCGTTCTAACTTTATATGAAGAGAATATTTTTTTGTATTTTTAGTATTACATACGTTGATTAAATTTTTTCTTTTATTATTTTATAATTTTTTTTTTTTGTTTTTTATTTTTTGTAATTTAATAATGTATACATATATATTATTTCTTTTCTATTACATTTTCCATAAAATTCCGTAATTACATCATCCATTTTTTAAATATATAAATTTCAATTCTTTAAAATACTTTCCATTTCAATTGTTACATTTTATTTTATGTTAAAATCGCCTTAAATAGTTTTTCTGTATAAATAATTTAATATTTTTTTTTAAGTTAATCAGAAAAAAAAATTCTTATATTTTCAAATTAATTCTCTTTTATATAAATTATGTAGTTATTTTGGACAAAAATATATAATGTATATATATGTATATATATATATATATATATATATATATATATATATATATATATATATAATATATGTAAATAATTTTCCTTTGTTTTTGCTGTTTTTATTTTTAATATTATTTTATATTTGTTTAATTTTTTTTTTAAATTACTGCATGAATTTTCAAATTTTTAGAATCTACCACTGTTAATCATTTTATACATTTAATATTACAAATTTTTATGCTCGTTTTGAATTTATTGTGTAAACAGTAAATTGTTTTTAAATATTTTTGCTTTAAAATAATGGCTTTGAAATGAAAAATTTTGACAAAATTGCAAATATAAAATTATTATATAAAAAAATATTGCAAAATATTGCAAAAATTGATTGCAATATATGGTCAAATTCAAACTTATAAAATTTTTTGGACAAAAGATTTATTATCAAGAATCCGAAATAAAAAAAAAATATTACAATTTAAAAATATTTTAACAAACAAGCATCAATTTCTTTGAAAAAAGAAAAAGAACCAAAACAAATTTTAATTGATAATTATTGTAAATTTTTAATATTTTTTTATTTGTATTTCGTATTTATTTATAAATATAAAATATTATGTACTTAGTATTTTATTCATATATTTTTAAATTTTTAATTATAGAAAAAATATTTTTTTAATTATATTCGCCATTTTATCTTATATTTTTGTTTACACATTCATATAATTATATATATATATATATATATTTGTCGTTAAGATTGCATAATTTTATACTTAAGTATAAATAGTAGTAACATATTTTAAGATTTAATTCTATTATGTGATTTTTTTACGATATTAATTATTTATATATATTTTTTACGTTTCATACGCTTTTTTATATTTATATTCTTACTTATTTCTTGATTCATTTTTTTTATTATTTAAAGTGATTGTATTATCGTCAAATCATTACAATGACTTTTCAATTTAATAATTAACTTTATATGTGTATTTTAACAATTGGTAATAATAATGACAAAAAAATATTCGATATAATTATTTATCTATTGTTTTTTTTTTTGTTTTTTTTTCTTTTACTTTTAAATTAAAATTCAAACTACATTATCGACGGAAAAACTCTTAACTTTCGAACATTTACATTTTTATTTAATTATTACATGTTTTGTTTTTTCATTTTATACGTAGATTAAATTATGTACTCGTATATCCAATTCTTTGTCAAATTATTACGAATGTTTCTTTTCCATTAATAATTTCTATACGAAATTACTTTTATGATTTTAAAACAAAGTTATATTTAAAATGTTTCAATGTGGTTATAATGTGAGCGACGAGACAATAGTATTTAATATGAATTAAATTTGTTTAAAATATTATGTTAGGTATTTTAAATATCGGTGAAGTTACATTTGATTAAAAAAGGACATTGTAAATATGTCCAAAATCAATGAATTAGGATTTCAAATAAACTTTGTTTTCTTTTCTTACATTCGTCAGAGAAAACTTTCATTTGTTCTACACTCTTACATAATTGTTATTTTAAAGGAATAAAATTTTAATTTAGTGATAATTCAATTTTAGTTCGAAAACTATTTATTTTAGTTTTATCTTATGATTATATCCCTTACGAACGTAATAATAAATTTTCAGAATAATATTTTCATAATATAAAAAATTCTAATACTTGTTTTTTTTTATCATTAATTTAGACCGTTTATATAGCACAAATCGTAAATATGCAAATACATAATTTTTAAAATATAAATTACAATTTTATTATCACTATATTAAAAAAAAGTGCATTTTTAAAAGCACAGCACCACAATGATTTGATTATTTTCTTTTGTTTTCTACTATAATTCAAAATCAAAAACGACTTCTTTGTTTTCGTGTGTGTTGAATTCTTATTTTTTCATATCAACTAAATCTCTCATATGTTTCTGATAATGCCACTTTTATAGTTTTAAAAATACAATAAATTTTTTTAATAATAAGTAAGTACATAATGCTTTTTTGTTGTGGTTTATCAAAATACGATAAAGTATTTTCCGAAAGTATATTTTGATTTATAATAACTCAAAATTTTTGACCTCTGAAAAATATTTTCTATACAATCTGCTTTTAAACATATAAAACGGTTTTAAAAGTAATTTCATGATTTACAAATATATTATTCAAATAAAAGTTTTAATTTTTAAAATGAAAGTAAAATTGGTAGGTTAAGGAAATAAAATATACCCGATTTGAAGAGTATAGATTAAAAATGCGGAAAAAAACTTGATTTTTGAATAATTTTCGATATAGATTATCTTCTATAAATAATAATCACAAATAAATTTTTATTTTATAAAATAAAATTTTAAAAAATATCACTTGAAACAATCGTAATAAATCGGCAAAGATTTTTAGTAGGATAGTTTATAATAAATAAGCTTATTTCCAACTTTAGTCTCAATTAAATGTAATTTCAAATTCAAATTTCTATTATTCAAATATTTATGCGGTTTTTTTTTTCAAAATAATACATGTATATATAATATTTTTTTTGTTAAATATTTTTATGTAAATTATATAATATATATTTAATTATTTTTTTCCCATATTATTGATAAATATATTGAAAGAAAGCATTCTTTTTCCTTATATTTTCTTTTTCAAAAGGTTCAATGCTAATTATTAAAAATATTTTTACATATATCTGAACATATAAAATTATATACGTAAATATATGTTATATACATCTACAATATATATATTTACATATTTTTATATTATATATATATGTATATAATAATAAGTGTATAGCTTTCAGCTTCCCTTTGAACGACGTTCTCTTAAAACGATAATGGCTACCGAGTTCGCTTTAAAATTATTAAAAACAATTTTAAAATATCTTCATAAAAGCGATCAATCCCATCCGTTTTCTTTTATCATATGAGCTAACTCAATAATATATTTTCCTTCTTTATACTTCTGACTTGATTCAAATGCATGTTCCTAAAATTAAACGAGAATTATTATATTTTAGTAAATTCTAATTATTCAAAAACAACAAAACTATTAGATGACAAAAAAAATAGAGTCTGATTTTTACTGCATTAGTTTAACATGTTAAAAATAATTTACTTATTTATTATATTAAAGTTTTACTAAAATTTTTGACTAAATTCTTTATTTACATATTTCCAACCAAGCGGAGTTTTACAGCATTCACAGTATATATCTGCAACTGCATGAAGTCCAGTTAATAATACTCGTTCTTCAGCTTGACCGCAAGCCACGTTAACTCTAAAATAACATTACAAAGTACAATCAATAATTGATCAGTTATTTGATATTCTATTTCGTATACACTTACACAGAATTGAACAGATAAGCCCGACCTTGACTACCTTGAAAAGACTAAAAGAAAAAAAATATTATAAATTAAAATGTTACTGATTCTAATTTTTCTGGCTAAAATAACCAACCAAATTTCAATACATTTCCAAAAAAAAAAAAATCAAACATTTCAACGTCAAAATTTACTTTTAATATTAAAAATAAATAAAATTTAAACACATACTTTTGATATAAGTTCGTCATGACTCGCTAAATGAGCTCTACAATGTACACAAGAATATGTTCGATTCGTAGCCGGTAAATATGCTTGAAATGTTTTCACCATTGTACCGTTCGAGTTTGTTGTTTTTACTTGGCCGTTCGACACTGACCCGTTTGCGTGGCCGTTGGCCGCGTCCTTTATGTTGATAATAAGATAAAAAATATTTTTAAATAACAACAATTGTGTTATATAAATTTTATAAAACTAAAAAAGAAAGCAATGGAAAAAAAATAAAAATAAAAATTATAAATTTGAAAAAAAAAATAATAAAAATAATAATAATAATAATATGATATGTACAAGTAAGTATGTATGCATATATGTATATATATAATGACACTGAATACTGAGATATGTAAATAAGTTAATAGCATACCAAGTTTTCTCGATTAACGTCCAGGCCGATGCCGTTGTTTTCACTTCTTTTTGAAAAACAGAAACCTATTTTCGCTGATTTTTAAAAAAGCGTTGTTCAAAAGCGTTTAATTATTTTTTGTTGTTGATTTCTTTTATTAATTTTCTGCGTTTTTCTTTTCTGTTGTTGTTTTCGTGTGTTTTTGTATTTCTTTGTTTTTCTTTGCTATTTCCTTTTGTGAACAACCTTTTTTTTTTCCGCTCAATAGATGTTTTGTTTCTTCTTCGTCTATGTTGTATACAATTTCCGCTTAGCTTAACGCTCTTGCAATTCTAAATTTTATAACTTAATTTTATAATAATTTGATGCAAATTCTATATTTGATTTCAGTTTATTTCCAAGTTTCACTAAAAAATAAAAAATAAAAGAAAAATTCAAAAATCAATAAAAAAAGTCAAATATTTTTTTATTTTAATTTAAATTGTATTAGAAAAAAAAATTGTTCTAAATTTTGATTTTTCAAAATAAAAAAAAATATTATGCATAATTGATAAATTTTATAAAATTTCAATGCCAACAATGTTATAATTATAAATAATATAATTTTTAAAATCAAAATAAATAAATTAAAATATTAAAATAATTTTTTTTAATACTTTTATGCATGTAGTATGTATGCATGTGTGGGTTCCATACTGTATGTTTTGTGTATACATATGTGTGTGTATGAAAAATTTATGTTCTAATTTGGCACATAATAAAAAAAAAAAAATAAAATTTGTGTTGAATTGAAAGTGGAATAAAATAAAATTACATTTTAAGATTTTTCTTTATTATCTAAGAAATTTTTGTATAATTTTATCATCAAAAATTATTTTATATTGTCTTATATGTTTTTTTTTTTGTATTATTTATTTTTTTTCTATTTGAGGTTACCATAAATGACATTTAAGATTTTTGTTTTTATTTTTTTTTTTGTTGTTTTTTGTAACAATATAATTTTAAAATATGAATTTATTATTGTTATAATAGCGTAATAAGGTTTTGTATTTTGTTTATAGGTTATTATTATGGTTTCATGTTATTTTAGATTTTGTATATTAGATTTTGATATTATATTGTACTATAATTAAGATGTCTCTGTATAATGAAACAATATATTAGATGGCATTGTAATAACTATAAGATTTCATGATCATAATTATAATTACACATACAAACATATGTTTTATATAGAAAGAATTAAATAAATTGTGTAAGTTTATATACAAAATATTATGTAAAAATTTGACATATAACCACTGGTATTATTTATAGAAGTTTTAATTTTCAAAAAAAAAAAATTAAGAATAGTTTAAATTACGATTTTAAATCTATAAAATGGTTAACACACAGAAATAAAATAACACAATCAAAAAGAGACTGCTTATAACTTTTTCGTTTCATAAACGTTCTCAAAATAAAGATTTTCAATAATAAATCTCTGATTGATGTTTTTATCAAGAGAGATTTAGTTATGAACATGCATATGCACATTATATGTAGTCAAAGATACAAATTACATATACAATGAAAAAACAAATATCAAGTTGGTCTTAAGAACCGAACAAAAAGTGAATGACTGTCAATTTGTTGTATAATGTAGTTTTCTAATGAGAGAATTTTGACAATTGAATTGAAAGAATGAGAAGAATAAGAATGGATCTCATTGAGAAAGAGAATTCTGATTAGTCGCTTACAATAATTGATTCGAAAACAAGTGAATTCTTATAAATTAACTTTGATTGTAAATCCAATTCTATTTACATAATTAAATATCTGAATTTGAAATTTAAATCACCCTAAATTAAATTTTATGTGGTAACCCTTTGTGATTAATCATTATATTATACATTGAATGTTCAAATTATGATTTGTTTATGCGATTTGCATATATTACATAAAGGATTCAAAAATTCTATATAGATAAATTATATATTTACATATGGTTACACAAAAATTAAATACAAAAAAAAAATATTTCTTGTAAATTTCAATTAAAATAATGTGCCTACGTCTAGAAATAATTATAATATTACTAAAAATATTATCAAATAAAATCTACATACTCCAAAAAAACAAAAGATTAATTTATTTCCACACTATACTGTTATACAAATTTAATTTGGTTATAATAAACAAACAAAAACAATTTCCGAAAATAACCAATGACACCCAAAAAAAAAAAAAAAAAACATTTTTTTTATACTTTATTCTCATTATAGTATTTATTTAGCCGCTAAATTTTAGCGTATATTTCTACATTCCATGGCATTGACCCTGACCAAAAGAACAAAACAAAAAAAGTCTATATACATAATACCTTAATAAAATTTTTGAAAATATTTTAAGAAAACACTAAATAAATTAATCTAAATAGAATTCAAAGAAAAACAAAACAAAAACGAAGTGTTCTATAATTATCGTACAGAATAAAAGCATTTTTAATTCAAAAAGGAACTTCCCACAAATTTTAATTTCAAAAAAAAAAAATTTATTTATCATAAAAAAAATCATTTTAATTATAATTAAAAATCTCAATAATTTGAATCACAAGTACAATTTATGTGTGTATGTATGTGTACATAAAAAATATTTTTAATCAGGCAAAATTTAATTAATTCAAGATGTCACCCTATATACTCGTTTGTATGTATATAAAATATTATGCATTATGAGTAGTGAGTAGAATACAGAAATTCAACAACGCTACTCGTATAATTATAAAGAAAATTATTTTTTTTTTCAGAAATAATTAATTTTAATAAACACAAAAGAAAATTATTTTTTTTTGAAACAAAGAAAATTTTTAAACTATTAAAAAGGACAAAAAAAAAAATAAAACAGGAAAAAAAATAATTTTTAATATTTTTATTATTTTATAAAAGCTACGTTTTTAATTTTTCAAATTCTTTGTTTGAAAAAATCAAAAAAAAAAAACTTCTTAACAATTTTTAAAGATTCTGTTGCGTTTTCATTGAAAAAAAAAAAAAATAAAATTGTAAGTATAATTTTTTTTTATACGTTATTCAAAAAACAAAAAATATAAGAAAAAAATTCAAATAATAAATATAGCGAAATTGCGCAACATCATAATTTTTCACATTATTCACCCATTTAAAAAATCTCATCGCAAAATTATAAAATATTGTTATCATTGTAGATTCTTTGGCAACAAAGAGAATCGCATCGCATCGCGTCGCATTTATACTGTTATTCATATATACAAATAAATTACACAGAAAATTTTATTATTGATAAGTTTTCATATTTATGACGAATAGAAAAAAAAAATATTTTTAAGAAAATTTTAAATATTAATATTTAATAAATTAAACAAATAAATTGTTATCATTGAAGAAATCATTAAAAAATCATTGGAAAAACAAACCGAAAAAAAAATATCTGATTAAAATTTCAAGGTTATTATAGGTTCAACTTACCCCCTAAATATTAAAATCATTTTAATTATCAATATAACAAAAAAACTAATTTCTTTTTAAATAATTTCAAGGGTGGAAATAAATTTCATTAATAGGTTCATTAAAAGATTATTTTATATATATATTATGTATGTATGTAAGTTTTGAAATTTATTTCGTATTAAAAAATTTTACAATTTAGAAGATTTTAATTGAAAATTTGATTATAATATTATACCATTAAATTAGTATTCAATTCTTAATGAATAATTTAAGAATTTATACACAATAAATTATAGCATTCCATATACGTACGCCTTAACCTAGAAATTTGGGATATGAAAACTAATCGTTTGTGTTCTAACATTAATAAAAAGTTTTCACAAATTTTAAACCACGTTATGACAATTACGGGAACAAGAATGCAATATATTACTTGAAGTTAAAAAAAAAAAAATTTTACTTTTAATTTTAATTTTCAAGAAAATTGCTACTCGTTGTATGTTTTCAGTTGTAGCATAGCTCTTTTTAAGAATATTATGTGAACCTACCATACTGCAATTAAGTATAGGTACTAATTAAGAAATATATTTTCAAAAAGGCATCCACACTCTTAAACTTCGTATATATATATGAACTCGTAACTACGCATCAGATTGTTACACAAACAAGAAGTTGAATAAAATGGAAATAAAATTTTCCAAATTTCGAGATTTTAATGGGTTTTATTTTTACTTTATAGAACTATATTTATAAGCATAAATAATTCTACGGAATAGTTTAGAACAGGGTTTCTCTAAATTTATGACAACACGATCACAAAACCTACCACCGCTTGTTTGATTTTCCAATTTTTGTATTAATGTTTCAAAAAATGTGCTCTTTACGTACATACTATTAAAAAGAAAGTGTTATACAAGTACTGCTCACATTAATTACGCATTAAAACTAAAATAGTTAGTTCAAATTAAGTTTATTACAATACATAATATACTAGTAATACATTTACATTTTATATTTCGATTTTAAGCCTTTAAATGACTCATGCTCCTTAACAAACTTACATACTCTTCTGTCTATCGAAATAATCAAACTAAAAACTTATTAACATTTAAATTCTTATTATTGCGCGACCATTTTTTTTACTATTCATGATCGATACAGCCCTTTTTTTGAGTCGTAGGTTCAGAGTGTCATATTCCTTTAAATGGAACGCAATAAATATGTTTGTGTTACAAACAGAGATAATTTAATTCTGAACTGAAAAGCTCAGTCTGTGATTATATATAGATTATTTTAATCATCAATTTTATTTACAAAAAAATCCTTTATACTTCTGAATTTCGCTTTAAGTTACAAAGTGTTTAAAAAGAAGCAAACCTTAAGAGATTATAGAAATGTTACACAATTTTAATTTAATCGTAATTTTTATACTATTATCAAGCGCATAATGTTTTTTTTTTCTATTTCAAATTGACGAATTTTGTAAATCAGTTAAAGAGAATGATAGAGATAAATTGTAAGAGATTTTAAATAGATGTAGAATGCTCCAAATCCTATGCCATATTTTGTACTTTGTAAATATTGCAAACTAAGCGAATTTACTTGAAATTGACTTTACAATTTATTAAAAAACGCCTTTTTCAAAATTCTTTATTATTTCATTTACTAAAAATTAATTATTTTGCTAAAACTTTTCTCGCAGTATTCAAAATATTTCATTATGTTTTTTTTTTGAATCATTAGACGCAAATACCTTTAAGATGATTCAATTGAATAATCATCACTTATCTTTATAAAAATGACAAACACTTTTATGTATAAGAAAAAAAAACCTAAAAATTTTCTTATTTCTTTGAAAAAGAAAATGAGTTTTTTGAATTCTTTGAAATTTTTATATAGAAGAAATGAAATTGATATTAAAATAATTCTTAGGAAATTGTCAA